ACAGAGCTGGTAGAGAAAGAATTTTGGCGACTGGTGAACAGCATCGAGGAGGACGTGACGGTGGAGTACGGTGCCGACATTCACTCCAAGGAATTCGGCAGCGGTTTCCCCATCAGCGACGGCAAAAGGAAACTCTCACCGGAGGAGGAGGTGAGGGAGACCCCATCCCCAACCCCACGAAGGCATCACCGTCGCCCGTGATGGGGTCACGTTGTCCTTACGTTGTTCCCCCCCACCCCGTAGGAGTACGCCGGCAGCGGTTGGAACCTGAACGTGATGCCGGTGTTGAAACAATCGGTGCTGTGTCACATCAACGCCGATATTTCGGGGATGAAGGTGCCCTGGCTCTACGTGGGGATGGTCTTCTCCGCCTTCTGCTGGCATATCGAGGACCATTGGAGCTACTCCATCAACTACCTCCACTGGTGGGGGGCTCGGGGGGAGCGTTTTGGGTGGCCAGGGATGAGCCTGGGAGGTGTTATGGGGTGGGGGGAGGGGTTTTAGGGTGCCCCTGACCTCACCCCCACCACCACCTAGGGGTGAACCTGAGATAGGTTATGGGGTGAAGGGAGATTTTTGGGGTGCCAGGAGCCCTCTAGGGGCAAGGCCAAGGTATGGTATGGGGTGAGAGGAGGTTTTTGGGGTGCTGTGACCCCTCAAGGGCAAGACCAAGATGTGGTATGGGGCAAGATGAAGTTTTTTGGGGTGCCCAAACCTCATCTCCCATCCAAGGGAGAGCTGAAGTTGGGATGAGGAGGTGAGAGGAGGTTTTTGGGGTGCTGTGACCCCTCAAGGGCAAGCCCAAGACATGGGATAGGGCAGGAGGAGGGGTTTTGGGGTGCCCTTGACCCTGCCCCCCTTCTGGGAGCACCCCAAAGCCATGATATGGGGTTGGGAGGAGGGGTTTTGGGGAGCCCTTGACCCTGTCCGCCTTCTGGGGGCGACTCCAAGCCATGATATGGGGTTGGGAGGAGGGGTTTTGGGGAGCCCTTGACCCTGTCCGCCTTCTGGGGGCGACTCCAAGCCATGATATGGGGTTGGGAGGAGGGGTTTTGGGGAGCCCTTGACCCTGTCCGCCTTCTGGGGGCGACTCCAAGCCATGATATGGGGTTGGGAGGAGGGGTTTTGGGGAGCCCTTGACCCTGTCCGCCTTCTGGGGGCGACTCCAAGCCATGATATGGGGTTGGGAGGAGGGGTTTTGGGGAGCCCTTGACCCTGTCCGCCTTCTGGGGGCGACTCCAAGCCATGATATGGGGTTGGGAGGAGGGGTTTTGGGGAGCCCTTGACCCTGTCCGCCTTCTGGGGGCGACTCCAAGCCATGATATGGGGTTGGGAGGAGGGGTTTTGGGGAGCCCTTGACCCTGTCCGCCTTCTGGGGGCGACTCCAAGCCATGATATGGGGTTGGGAGGAGGGGTTTTGGGGAGCCCTTGACCCTGTCCGCCTTCTGGGGGCGACTCCAAGCCATGATATGGGGTTGGGAGGAGGGGTTTTGGGGAGCCCTTGACCCTGTCCGCCTTCTGGGGGCGACTCCAAGCCATGATATGGGGTTGGGAGGAGGGGTTTTGGGGAGCCCTTGACCCTGTCCGCCTTCTGGGGGCGACTCCAAGCCATGATATGGGGTTGGGAGGAGGGGTTTTGGGGAGCCCTTGACCCTGTCCGCCTTCTGGGGGCGACTCCAAGCCATGATATGGGGTTGGGAGGAGGGGTTTTGGGGAGCCCTTGACCCTGTCCGCCTTCTGGGGGCGACTCCAAGCCATGATATGGGGTTGGGAGGAGGGGTTTTGGGGAGCCCTTGACCCTGTCCGCCTTCTGGGGGCGACTCCAAGCCATGATATGGGGTTGGGAGGAGGGGTTTTGGGGAGCCCTTGACCCTGTCCGCCTTCTGGGGGCGACTCCAAGCCATGATATGGGGTTGGGAGGAGGGGTTTTGGGGAGCCCTTGACCCTGTCCGCCTTCTGGGGGCGACTCCAAGCCATGATATGGGGTTGGGAGGAGGGGTTTTGGGGAGCCCTTGACCCTGTCCGCCTTCTGGGGGCGACTCCAAGCCATGATATGGGGTTGGGAGGAGGGGTTTTGGGGAGCCCTTGACCCTGTCCGCCTTCTGGGGGCGACTCCAAGCCATGATATGGGGTTGGGAGGAGGGGTTTTGGGGAGCCCTTGACCCTGTCCGCCTTCTGGGGGCGACTCCAAGCCATGATATGGGGTTGGGAGGAGGGGTTTTGGGGAGCCCTTGACCCTGTCCGCCTTCTGGGGGCGACTCCAAGCCATGATATGGGGTTGGGAGGAGGGGTTTTGGGGAGCCCTTGACCCTGTCCGCCTTCTGGGGGCGACTCCAAGCCATGATATGGGGTTGGGAGGAGGGGTTTTGGGGAGCCCTTGACCCTGTCCGCCTTCTGGGGGCGACTCCAAGCCATGATATGGGGTTGGGAGGAGGGGTTTTGGGGAGCCCTTGACCCTGTCCGCCTTCTGGGGGCGACTCCAAGCCATGATATGGGGTTGGGAGGAGGGGTTTTGGGGAGCCCTTGACCCTGTCCGCCTTCTGGGGGCGACTCCAAGCCATGATATGGGGTTGGGAGGAGGGGTTTTGGGGAGCCCTTGACCCTGTCCGCCTTCTGGGGGCGACTCCAAGCCATGATATGGGGTTGGGAGGAGGGGTTTTGGGGAGCCCTTGACCCTGTCCGCCTTCTGGGGGCGACTCCAAGCCATGATATGGGGTTGGGAGGAGGGGTTTTGGGGAGCCCTTGACCCTGTCCGCCTTCTGGGGGCGACTCCAAGCCATGATATGGGGTTGGGAGGAGGGGTTTTGGGGAGCCCTTGACCCTGTCCGCCTTCTGGGGGCGACTCCAAGCCATGATATGGGGTTGGGAGGAGGGGTTTTGGGGAGCCCTTGACCCTGTCCGCCTTCTGGGGGCGACTCCAAGCCATGATATGGGGTTGGGAGGAGGGGTTTTGGGGAGCCCTTGACCCTGTCCGCCTTCTGGGGGCGACTCCAAGCCATGATATGGGGTTGGGAGGAGGGGTTTTGGGGAGCCCTTGACCCTGTCCGCCTTCTGGGGGCGACTCCAAGCCATGATATGGGGTTGGGAGGAGGGGTTTTGGGGAGCCCTTGACCCTGTCCGCCTTCTGGGGGCGACTCCAAGCCATGATATGGGGTTGGGAGGAGGGGTTTTGGGGAGCCCTTGACCCTGTCCGCCTTCTGGGGGCGACTCCAAGCCATGATATGGGGTTGGGAGGAGGGGTTTTGGGGAGCCCTTGACCCTGTCCGCCTTCTGGGGGCGACTCCAAGCCATGATATGGGGTTGGGAGGAGGGGTTTTGGGGAGCCCTTGACCCTGTCCGCCTTCTGGGGGCGACTCCAAGCCATGATATGGGGTTGGGAGGAGGGGTTTTGGGGAGCCCTTGACCCTGTCCGCCTTCTGGGGGCGACTCCAAGCCATGATATGGGGTTGGGAGGAGGGGTTTTGGGGAGCCCTTGACCCTGTCCGCCTTCTGGGGGCGACTCCAAGCCATGATATGGGGTTGGGAGGAGGGGTTTTGGGGAGCCCTTGACCCTGTCCGCCTTCTGGGGGCGACTCCAAGCCATGATATGGGGTTGGGAGGAGGGGTTTTGGGGAGCCCTTGACCCTGTCCGCCTTCTGGGGGCGACTCCAAGCCATGATATGGGGTTGGGAGGAGGGGTTTTGGGGAGCCCTTGACCCTGTCCGCCTTCTGGGGGCGACTCCAAGCCATGATATGGGGTTGGGAGGAGGGGTTTTGGGGAGCCCTTGACCCTGTCCGCCTTCTGGGGGCGACTCCAAGCCATGATATGGGGTTGGGAGGAGGGGTTTTGGGGAGCCCTTGACCCTGTCCGCCTTCTGGGGGCGACTCCAAGCCATGATATGGGGTTGGGAGGAGGGGTTTTGGGGAGCCCTTGACCCTGTCCGCCTTCTGGGGGCGACTCCAAGCCATGATATGGGGTTGGGAGGAGGGGTTTTGGGGAGCCCTTGACCCTGTCCGCCTTCTGGGGGCGACTCCAAGCCATGATATGGGGTTGGGAGGAGGGGTTTTGGGGAGCCCTTGACCCTGTCCGCCTTCTGGGGGCGACTCCAAGCCATGATATGGGGTTGGGAGGAGGGGTTTTGGGGAGCCCTTGACCCTGTCCGCCTTCTGGGGGCGACTCCAAGCCATGATATGGGGTTGGGAGGAGGGGTTTTGGGGAGCCCTTGACCCTGTCCGCCTTCTGGGGGCGACTCCAAGCCATGATATGGGGTTGGGAGGAGGGGTTTTGGGGAGCCCTTGACCCTGTCCGCCTTCTGGGGGCGACTCCAAGCCATGATATGGGGTTGGGAGGAGGGGTTTTGGGGAGCCCTTGACCCTGTCCGCCTTCTGGGGGCGACTCCAAGCCATGATATGGGGTTGGGAGGAGGGGTTTTGGGGAGCCCTTGACCCTGTCCGCCTTCTGGGGGCGACTCCAAGCCATGATATGGGGTTGGGAGGAGGGGTTTTGGGGAGCCCTTGACCCTGTCCGCCTTCTGGGGGCGACTCCAAGCCATGATATGGGGTTGGGAGGAGGGGTTTTGGGGAGCCCTTGACCCTGTCCGCCTTCTGGGGGCGACTCCAAGCCATGATATGGGGTTGGGAGGAGGGGTTTTGGGGAGCCCTTGACCCTGTCCGCCTTCTGGGGGCGACTCCAAGCCATGATATGGGGTTGGGAGGAGGGGTTTTGGGGAGCCCTTGACCCTGTCCGCCTTCTGGGGGCGACCCCAAGCCATGATACGGGGTGGGAGGAGGTGTTTTGGGGTGCCCCTGACCCCGTACCCCCCCCAGGGGCGAGCCCAAAACGTGGTATGGGGTTCCCTCCTTCGCGGCGGAGCACCTGGAAGAGGTGATGAAGAAGCTGACGCCGGAGCTCTTCGAAAGCCAGCCCGACCTCCTCCACCAACTCGTCACCCTCATGAACCCCAACACCCTCATGGCCCACGGTGTCCCCGTGAGTATCAGGAGGGGCCCCTCAGGACACCCCAAAACTCCTTAACACACACCCACCCCTCTCCTCACCCCAAATTTTGTTGCCCTTTTAGGTCGTACGGACCAACCAATGCGCCGGCGAATTCGTCATCACCTTCCCCCGGGCGTACCACAGCGGTTTCAACCAGGGTTACAACTTCGCCGAGGCCGTCAACTTCTGCACTGCTGACTGGGTGAGTCCTTGCACCCCCAAAAAACCTGAGACACACCCCTCCCCCCCAAAAAAAATAAAAATTTTGGGGGGGGAGAACCCTAAATTTGCGCCGGCTGCTCCTCTGGGAGCTTGGGGAAAACTCCCAAGTGTTGAGCTGGGATTTTGGGGGTGGGTTCACGCTGGGG